AAGTTTGACGACCACTGTTTACTAGGGATGTACAAACGTTATCGGGAATTGAGTCCCGTATCCCGTAATGTCACACTTTATTGGGCGCGGCTTAAGGCGAGCTATTTATTTTGGTACAATAATGGCCGTGATTTGTTTTATATTGTAATCCCGTAATGAAGTACTGCCGTCTGTGAGTCACTAACCGTTATTGAGACGAGCGTAAGAGAGCTTCTTGTTTGTTTTGCTTATTATTGCTTTGATTAGATTTAGGTTGTGTTAATTCATAAAAGATTAGACCCACGACCTTTTGATGCCTAATACAAGTAACATAATATACAAATAATTATAATAGGTTAGTTGTACTTCATGGTGAACCACTACATGGTATAAAACAAATCTATCCGCCGTCTGTCTGTCCCTATGTATGCTTAGATCTTTAAAACTGTGCAACGGATTTTGATGCGTTTTTTTAAATAGATATAGTGATACTTAAGGAAGGTTTATATGTGTACTACATGCATATTGCAGCCGTGTGAAGCCGGGGCGGTTCACTAGTAATCAATAATATGGTGGGGGAAGTTAGTGACTTCCATTTCACCAACTGTTATGTGCTAGTGCCAATCTTACTGTTACTCTGGATGATTCGGCAGTTATAAGAAAAACCACTTTTAATTCAAACAATAGTTTATCGTGTTAATAAAATTATAATCACACTGTTGACTTAGTTTATAAACAATAATTTAATAATTTAATGCTAGTGAAGGGCTATATCGACCAGGTCTGGGTTAGGGATTTGGGCTGAAAACCAATAAGTTTGGCTGGATCTAAAGATCACGATTATATCAGCCTGAGTCTAGATTAAAATTGCCTGTATAATGCATATTAAAACTGCACAGAATTGCGGAAAATAATTAATGTTTATAGCAAATAATTGCCAATATAGAATTTTGTGTTTGACGTAAAGTATCTAATGCAGTTTTAAAATACAAGCACTTTTGCAAAACGGCAATAATGCAAGTCAGCGATGTATTAAGCATAATTATTAGGGTTCAATGATTGCATTTGATCAAAAGTTTCGTACTTACCTACTTATTTAGAAATATTTATATAGCTCTATCTACGACACGTTACATTATAATCCCGCATAAAATAAACAGCGCAAACAAGACATCACTACGTCCCTGTTACAGGCACATACAAAAGTGTGTCACATAACATATTGCTGTAATAATAGAATGTTCACGAGTTCCATCCGCGACAGTACACAGAGCGTAGGGCTGACGAATAGACGGTGTGTGTAATATGTGGCTAATGATTTATTCATTCGTACGGCAATTTTGCTACTAGTATTTCTTGGGACTGACTGCCTCGTAGTCCGAGTGGTCGTAAGTGCAACTGCCGGGCAAGGGGTCTCGGGTTCGATTCCCGGGTCGAGCAAAGTATTACTGGGTTTTGATAAAATTCTTAGTGGTAGCACGGAGACTGGAATTGTGTCCGGTATATGGCAATAGGCTCACCCCTATTACATGTGACTCATAACATAAAATAGTGAAAAGTGGGTGTTACATGGTACAGTGTCATTAAGTGCCATAATGTGCACCTCTGCTTACCCCTTCAGGGAAGAAAGGCGTGATGTTATGTATATATATACATATTCTTGGGACTGTTTAAAATGTTATGTCATGGTATTTGTACTATTAATAACTTAACGTAGTTCTAACGAACAGTAATAAAGGTTACTCTATCATTGTTCATTTACGGTAGATTTTTGTATTCACTTATTTTAAGTATACGTTGATATTCCATATTCCACTCTGTTACGTTTCGTTAAGACAAATATACATAACATCACGCCTTTTATCCCCTAAGGGGTAGACAGAGATGCACATTACAGCACTTAATACCACTGTACAATGTAACATCCACTTTTCACTATTAATGTTATGAGTCCCATGTAATAGGGAGTGATTCTATTTCCATATACCGGGCACATTTCCAGACTCCGCGCCACTACTGAGACTTTTTTAAATCCCAGTAATACTGTGCTCGACCCGGGAATTGAACCCGGGAACTGAATCCCTTGATGAATTTAGATATCAAGCCTTTATCGATATAAATTCCAGAAGAAGTCGATTCTCGGCAAATATGTATAAAAGAAAAATAAACATACTGTCGAAATGAAACCAACCACATCATTATATGTGCTACTACGTATTTACTAAGTTAATGTAATATTAAACTAGACTTGAAACAGTCCGACAAATCTACAAGTTATTCATAACATTACCGTATAAACCTCTCTCGCAACATGACACATGAGGGTTACCATATTTTTTCCTTAGACCCAAATCCATAACAGTTTTCCTCAAACCCTTCATGAAACAAATATGATAAATAATAAAAAGCTACTTCAAAATGAACCACTCGGTTTTATATTCGCGGTGGTAACCCTACACTCATTTAGTGCCGTACCGCTTCGGGATAATCGCGGGACTCCTAAAAATGAACGATTACGGTCACCATCCCTTATTCAGGTGATAGACCAACGTAAGTGAATCCCTCAACCTTTATATTGTCGTTATATTATTTTGGACTGTGTTGTGGGTGTTAGATTTTATCAGTGTTGCTATAGTGCCCACTAAGTTGTATAAATGAGACAGGATGGTTTGATAAGGAAAATCTGTGTATTCTAGTTATGGCTTTTATGCTCGTTCGTTTTGTAATATGTTTAGGATTTTAGGTAACTAATAATAAAACTTATGGTTGTCTTATAGTATACATATATGTCTTATAATATACATTCGGAAGATATTTTTATTACCTAAGCCTTAAATGTGATCGATTTTTTAGTTCTACACAGGTAGAGATTTTATGCTTTTATATTTAGAATGCACACATACGTATATGTATTATGGCATAGGGTCTACGTTTCCTTCAAATATACTAACAAATTAACTCTGTGTCGAAAACAGTAAAACTTTGTTTATATAGCAGTGTAATAAAGGACAGTCCATTGATATCCTTACATCGATGTGAACTGACACACACTACCGACAGTACCTACATTTATAAAATAAATCCCAGAAACCCTAATTCTAGGACTTCATAAAAATCTCGGGTTTCGGGAGGGTCCAATGAATAGTGGGCGTTGGCTATTTATGTTCTATCCGTGCCCATCCCTAGCGATACCGTCATATTTATCGATAGCGATCCCGGGATCGGCTCTATTTACACAGCACTATCAATTGATATGGACGCGTTAGATATAGTGTGGGAAATATCGATGTTTAGTTCCTATTCAATATTAAAATGGTTTGACAAACAATAGTTTGTTTGTTGGTTTATGATGCGGTTGTGGTTGAAGACAAATAGTATGTGCCGGTTACTGAACAGAATTAATGAATATTTAAATGAACGTCAAAGTCGGGTAAAGTGATATTGTGTTTTAAACAAAAATCTCAGTAGTAGTACGGAGTCTGGAATTGTGCCCAGTTTATGGCAATAGGCTCACCCCCTATTACATGGGACTCATAACATAAATACTGAAAAATGAGTGTTACATTTTACAGTGGCATTAAGTGCCGTAATGTGCACCTCTGCCACCCCTTCGGGGATAAAAGGCGTGATGTTATGTGTAACACGAATTTCAACATTCATAGCTTTACTTTACCCCAATGTGCTGGGTAAATAGTAAAAATTTTACAAATTTTACCCTACTAGACTAGGTGTACCTAGACACTAGTGTTACACTAATCGACAAACAATGGAATGAACATAATTTCAGACTCCGTACCTACCGAAAACGAAAGTCGAAAAAGTTAATTAAACATCTTCGAGTGCGAGTCCTTACGGTTGGTAGCTGAAGCTGCGAGCAGTTATCCACGTAGCAGGAAAATCCCTTCGATGCTAACCTTGGAGATCCCACAAAAGAAGGTTACTTAAATCGAGTGACCCTTAATACAGAGAAATAATTCAATTATCCCATAAATAATAATTACTATTAAGAACACAAGCAAGTATCTAATGCTATTAACTTGTATTGTAATAATATTATCTCTCGGGATCTTTATGAGAACATGATAAAAATATTTCTTTTTGTTAATAAGTTGTACGTAATTCTCAATGGACTGGTGTACATTGTTCAAGAATAATGCTTATATTATAGAAGTTATAGGTATAATGCAAGCAACTTATAAGAAATCTTGAAAAGGGTCGCATTTTTAGTACTTTTATTAGAGAAAAACACTATATGTTCTATAAATGATATGTACTCAATATTATAAATCTGGAACTTAGAATCTCATATTCAACAATCTTCTTCTGCTGTATAGCGTTTACTAAAAAAAACCCATACATACGTAACTTCATGCCTGTCTCCTATGGGGGTAGGCAGGAGAACCTAACGGGTAACCGGGGCTCCGGCTCGACGTGCAGGAGAAGGAACGGGGTGGTTTTTAGTCAGTAAGAGTCTGACACTCCCTCCCGCCTCACCCAGGTGGGAGCAGTCATTCGATGATTTCCCCCCTTAAAAAAAAATGGGGGTAGGCAGAGACTATGCAACGACGATTGCTACGATTCTTACGTAATTCTTTCGCTTCATCGTCTTTTCATGCATGCTCTATTAAACATTTTCTAAAAAACCTTTGACCTATTCAAGAAAATTGAGTAACAATTCGCAATAAATTTAATTTAAAAACACCATTCACACATTTACCAGAATTCCATTCTTATACAATCTGACTACCACTTTCTTTTATTACGTTTTCTTTCAAAATAGCGCCCAGTCATGAAACATCTTACATAAAAATAATAAAAACGTAAAAATTATTTCCAATATTGTCAAGTGCAGCATAACTATATTATTCACTGTTTAGCAGTTTCCTAGAAAGTGGTAACTAAACATACATAATATGTGGGCATGACTTTCCTCCAATTAGCACTTCGTGCGCTGTTTGAGAGTCTAAAAATTACTGTAAGCAAGTTCTTTGAACATAACATAGTTGATACAGGCTGGATACAGTACAGACAATAGAACAGAATATAAATTAAAAACAATTTTTTGACAGTTTTCAGTATTGCCATATAAAATGCGTTTATTGACGGTGTTGCTAGTGTTTTTATATGTGGTGTTCTGTGAGGGGTCTGAGGATGCCGTCGAAGAGAGAGGGAAGAAGAAAAAGATTGGATTATTTAGTAAGTGTATAACTTTAAGTCTATATATAGTTTATAATTCACCAATGAGCACTTTGAATACATTAGAAAGTTTAAAATAAATAAGTATGAAAATAGTTTCTTAGTCTTCATAAAAATGAATTTAAATTACTATTTCTTGAAGACAAGTCTGAAATGAAATCAATTTAGTTTTCGCAGTAATAAAAATTACATTAAGACAATAATATTTAAGTAATGAATGTAGCACTACAAATAATTCAGAACAATAAAAGATAATAAATTAAAAATAGTAAATGGGAGTGTAAAAACCGATATTTGTGAATTTGTACGAACTGGTTCTGTAGTTAACAATTTCTTCTTAGTTTTCACATTGTATATAAAAAGGGAAAATCATGAATAAAAAAAATAACTTATATTTTAATGGCGACATGTTTAATTGTTTAATCAAGACTTGTAAAATATACACATATTACAAAACTTTAAATTATCCCTTGAAATAGATAAATCTTTGCGCAAGGAACTCCAAAAGTCGTAAATCGTCCAAAAGTAATCAAATACAATTTATAGTAAACTACATCACTTTGTATATTAAAACATCACTCAAATGCATTTTGAATAATGAAGATATTTACGTACTAAAGGGTAAATGGACGGTTTTCAATAAATTCAAATGTGCACAGCCATCGGAAAGCGATTATCGAATACCACTTTATCGAGTCAGTTGGCTCATAACTATTGTGCGAGGCTATTTGTCACCTTTTCAATACTATCCACTACTTTATTGTTTTAACTTTCTGATTGATTCGTAAAATGTGTTAGTTTTATGACTATTTTAATGTAGGGCAGATGAAAGACGATAGTTTATAGACATTTAGCGACGACGACTTTGGTAAAATATCTAATCGAATGGGCGTTCAGCTAGCTAGATGCATGAGTATAATGGATTCTGAGATATCTAAGGACCGTTGTAGGTCCTGCTGTGTATTTTCATCTAACTCTATGAAACAAAATGAGTATATAGTCCTGTCCTGTATATTCTTTAGATTATAATACCAAGAGCTTAATACTTTCGAAGTTCACCAGACCAAATAGAAGCAAAATATATTCCTTGCATACAAAACAATATGAATAGAAAATACCAATTTGAATAGGAATAAGTGCCTACATATTTTGTCTAGGCTATGCTAATAGTGGTTAGGATATAGATCATAGCAAAAAAGGTCTTATTGGCGGTTATAATATGGAAAGGATAGAGATAAAGAGATAAACAAGGATAGTGAGACATCTTGTTAATATTAATATCATAAATAAGATTGGTTTATTGAATTCCTTCTCGCATGGACGGCCGAAGCAATTACTTTCCTAAGCTCTGTTTATTGTTATGTCCGAAAACCTTCAGTTTCGTGCTCAGTGTACTATGAATAAAACCACTGGAGAATCTTTTCAATTTGTTCCAGGAGTGATTGGCGGTTTTTGTTCTGTTATAGACGTTGTTCATGTGATTGAGAACAAGTCATTAAGATGTCTATGGTTTGGTGGATAATTTAATTAGAGAGCATGATGAAAACGCTTTTATTGTGTTTCTTCTTAGTCTTTATTTAGGTAAGATGTATCTGAACCAATATATATGTAATCCACAAATTGAGGTTTGGGAATACGTGTGATGTATGCATAGTTGAATTTTTGTTTCTAAACGCGCTCATGACATAAAATAATTCTAGAGCAACACTTTTGTAATAGAAGGAGAAAGAAAAAAAGAAAGAAAAAACATTTATTCGACAGTAGGCACGCACACAGATACAAAAATATACAAAATTAAAAAATAAAAGAACAAATAAAATCCACGTATTAATATAGATACAGAAAAAAAACGAAGAAACGATAGAATATTACAACACAGTGTCAATACAATAATAACATAGTAATTAAAAATTAATAAAAACGCGATATAAATAAATAACATTTAAAGTTGTC